TCAAAAGACTTGCACACAAATTGTAAAAAAAAAAGTGCTTTAATGTTGCTTTTTGGTTATTGGCATTGTGGGTCAATGGACAGGTGCTCGTTTGCTCAACCACTACATATGCCAAAACATGAAGTATACAACACAACATATTGTTCTGGAATCTGTATTTATCCTCCTTTACATTATTTATTCACATTGCCAAAAGAGATGATTTCTTTCCACAAAAAAAAAGAAGCCAAATAACTATATTTGTTTCCAAAATAAATTAGCTGAAATCTGCATCATAGTGAAGTCACGAATGAACTGTTTGAAACATTTATTGTTGTCTACTGCAACAAAATATTGTGTATACTATATATATTTAAAAATTTTAAAATGCACTGTCCTATAACATGCAGTATGTAGTAGTATGTTTGTAGCAGTAATAGTAATTTGTGTATGTATCCCACAATGTATTGCATTGACTTTACATTTCAGTGACATGAATCTGATGGTTTTTAGCATCTGCTTGAATAATTATTTAATTAAACTGAATTAGAAAATTTTTATACAAAATTAAACTGGAAATGCACAATAGCCATTTTTTTTTTTGAGATAATTGTAGTTAAATGATGCTGAATTAAACATGATGGCATGTAATGTATAATACTACACGGTTAATGCCTATGGTTTTGCATTGTATTTAGTAAAAAAAAAAAAAAAATAGTAGGCATCATACAGTGTACACTTTGTAGTATTCAGTAAGCAATGTATTTTTCCATTTCCTGGCTGGTAGTTTTGTGTGTTTTGTTGTAGAATACTGCCCTTCTCTGCCTCACTGCCTCGCTCTTCACATGATATCAATGCGATACCCCGTTTATTCCAGTTGAGCAGCAGCACGCAGTCCTACCAGCGCTGTCAGGACTTATTTTCTGCTTTTTCTACTGCAGCTGTAAAATAAATAATGTAATCACTTGCTGAATCACCCACTCGGTTTTTCATCTGAGCAGATTGTGTTGTGAACATTCCGGGTTCAATACAAGTTAAGCTTTATCGACAGCATCTGTGACATGCTGTCGATAGCCACTGAAAATAATTTAGCCTCTAACAACGCCTCTCAGCTTGTGAAAACAAGCAAAAATCATCTACATTTAATGCACTTTTATAATTTTTATTATATAACCACTACTGTAGATGTGCTATATAATCTTGTCTGATTCCTGTCACAAACTTTTAAAGCCAGTAATCCCTTTAACCCTACAAGGAAAGATGCTGGAAAGGAAGTAGTTTTTTTTTTCTGTGATGATCAACAGCATGTTGTTTTGAATCCATAACATTCCTCTACACATCTCAATAGCAAGAGCAGGTATTTAGAAGCAATGCAGCAATTCATATTGGGAGTTAGATAGGGTCCTATGAAATCTGTTTGGTTTTTCACAAATTCCTTTTTTTTTTCTGGCTTCTGTTTTTCCATTTAAATTTTTCTGGATTCTGTTTTAATGGTTAAATACAATTAAATAAAACTTGACAATTTAGTCAAAATTAAAGTAAAGTTAAAAGAAAATTAAGGGCCCCATGAAATCCATTTTATTTTCCCCAAAATTACATGTTTTCGGTTTAAAATTTTTCTGTATTTGACTTTAATGCTAAAATTACATTTAAGGGATGCACGATATTATCGGCCTGAATGATGATTAGATTCACTGTTTTGGATCGCTGCATTTAAATTGAGAATGCACCTACAGAATGACGCGTTCGGTGATAGAGTAAACAGTAACAGCACGTGCAGCGGCAGCCTCCCCCGGGTCCTAATGCCCGCTCAGTAAGGAGTTTTAATTCCGTAGGGGGCGCTGTTGGCCTACTTCTAATAAAATGAAAGCAAAATACACAAATATTTAGACTGTGTTTCTGATTAAATAAAGCAGTAATTGATGCCATAAAATCATGAGTATGTTTTGATTTAAAGGAAAGAAGCTTACATGAACAAAAAAAAATCACAAACGTGACACTTAAATTAAATAATTTTATATATACCGATTTATTCATTAATGTGTAATATGTTATATTTTTTAAACAAATTATGAGCTCTAAAAGATTTTCAGCCTCAACTTCAGTTTTTTTCCCAGACTCTGTCTGAATAATTTTTGGTCCCACATTTGTATACATTTTACTGGTAGGCCTTCCAAAGCCACTCATATAATGCAGAAACACTCATGAAGCAAGCAAAACACACGCAACGAGTGCACGTATTTGTATTGGTACAGAATGAGAGGGACAAGTACAGACTAGCACATTTACACTGGCTGTTAGTTTCACTTTCACCAGAAAGTCGTGTATGACTAAGGTTGAAAATAAATGATGCTTTCCAGTGATGTCTGTGAGAAAGGTATATTCACTCGACAAGCTCGTGCATTTGCGCCGCCGCGCGCTCAATCCATTCAGCGTGCTTTGCTCATCAGCTGGCGCAAATCAGCTCTACAGGCATTAATACTGAATGTTTTATATTCATTGCATACATATACTTCGTAGACATATTTAATCTCTAATAACTCCATTCTTCTGTCTGTTGTCGGTGTTTCTTTGTCTGAATATGGCACTTATTACATGCTGTGTGGTATTGGCGTTTGGTATCGGGGCATTAATATATAGTTTATTTATAGTTATTTTCAAATCTTCAATGTACTGTCATTATAAAATAACTTTATTATTCTTTATTTAATTCTAACAAATAAGTTCTTGTTAAAAACTAACCAAAATTTAAAAAAATTATATATTGTATCGGCTATCGGCCAAAATGAGTTGAAAATTATCAGCATATCGGATAACGGCAAAAATCCAATATCGTGCATCCCTATTACGTTTAGTTAAAATAATCAAACAGCATGTCTAATGAAATCATTGAATCATATGACTTTAACAATGTATTAAAAAATGTATAATATTATTACTTTGAGAACTACATTCTACTGTAGAATAACACAATTTCTTTAAGTTAAACCAAATTTTTATTTTGGTGGGTTACCATGAAAACCTTTCAGTTTTTGTGTGTGTATATGATATGACAATAGTTTTTATCAAATTAATTGGTGAAATACTCGTGAATTGACTCCTAGAGCAGCTCTTGAGATGAAGTTTGTGTACATGTCCCTGGCCTGTATAACATTTAATATTCACAAACACTAGTCTATATCGCCATTTGATCAAGAGTACAGCCCTACGTTTTGATTTATTCACCCAAAATTTGGCAAATTCCAAGACGGTCTGCATTATACAGTCAATTCCTTTTTTTTTAAACAAACTGGATTCTGTGATTCCTTCCACGTTTTCCGCCTCAAGGAAATCATATGACCCTAGTTAGTGTTTGGCGTTAGTTGTTGAATGAGTTGTGTGAGTAAAACTGTATGTATTGAGTCATTCAGGTTAGATGCTGTTTTCAATTATGTAAGGACTTTAGTTAGTTTGGCCCCTAAGGGCCGATGAGGACGAGTTTTGGCAAAAATGCATGATGTGCATGTGTGAGTTTGTACGGCATGGAGAGGCTTTGGTTCGAACAACTGCAATGTTCTCTGCTATTTCCAGTTCTTTCCTCCAAACCCTCTCATTTTCCAAAACACTGGCCTTTTCTTTCTCTCCTGTCCACCTTTCCTCGGCTCTCTGGATTCAGGCTGATTTGGCCTTAGCCCTGTTTTGTGGTAATGGCTAAATAAGCAGTTTGTGGACGGTCACAATCCTCTTCTATTGTGAACAGACTTCTGGTCATTAAAGGATTCAATCTCTTTCTCTGTCGTTCAGGCTCAAAGGTCAGATTGACCTCCCAGCTGTCCTGAAATCAGCTCTGTAACAACTCACCTGCATATGGCGCACTATTCCATACTGTCCTGTCTGATGGCATCTGAGCTCCTCAGCTGTCACTCACTCGTTTACATGCTCCCTTTTTTGTTTTGTTTATACATCAATTCTTGTTTAGTGAAAATGGATCAAAATGAATCAAAATAAGATGGAAAAATATATTGCATCAAGAAAAATTCAAGACCTTCAAAACTTAATTTGATGCAACTATAAAATGACCTTTAAAAAATGTAAATAAATAAAAAAATTTAAATAATACAAAATAAGTGGTTATTCACGTGTTAGTGATGATAATTGTAATATGGACTTAAGCTCAAACCCAAGTCCAATTAGGATGAGCAATTGTACAATTTTTGTCCGTTTTCTCTTTTGCTGGCCAAAATTTGAGTGCATTCCTACTAGTGCTTAGTGCACTTTTTCTTTAATTATTAGTGTTATTTTTCTTAAATATTCCATTTTATAATTATTTAATAATAATAAATATTATTATTATTATTATTATTACAATTATTTTATAGCCATATTGATATAATCACACAATTTTGCAGCCCAACAAACAAGCACAGCAAACTCGTTTTTTTTAATCACATTTAAAATCACAGTAGCAATTTTTATCAGAAAAAAAAACAAATCTTCCCAAATGCAGTCCTAAATGAAATATTGTGTCAGTTTTTCTACACCCCTAATCTTCCATGGATTAGACAAACAGGTTGTCCTGCCCTAAACTTCATTGGTTGAGCCAGATCAGAGCAATGTTTGTTAGCACCACCATGTTCAAACTCAGAAGTTAAATTTGATATGAGCAAGAATTACGTAGTTTCCATTCAAAAGTGCAATGAGACCTCCTGCTCTATTCTCGCTCTCTCTCTCGCTCTCTCGCTCTCTCTCTCTGCTGTGGACGGGACAGTCTGTGTGCACCAGATCTTTGTTCTGTCTCCTGGTACTGACCAGATGTCTATTCAGATGCCACTTGCCCTATTTGTAATATGCTCATTATAAAATGCAAAAGACCATGTGTTGATGAATTATTGAGCTGTGTTGTCTTTTGCTGTCCTAAATTTGCAATTCTGTTTTGTTGAAGTGGGTGTTAGATGTTTTGCTGTTTGCATTGCACCAGCTGCATGATATTAAAGCCTCAGCTTTGCCAATAATCTGCATGCTGTGTGTTTTTATGTTTTCAGTTGGGGAATTCGTGAGTGACATCCTCCTGGTGCCAGAGAAGTGTAAATTCTTCCATAAGGAGCGTATGGATATGTGCGTGAGTCATCAGCAGTGGCACGGTGTGGCCAAAGAGGTAAGATGTCAACATCCAGCGCCACATACAGACACTGATTACATAATGCACAATAATGCCTAATCAGAAACAGCGCAACAAGTAATGTGAAAATGCTATGCAAACAATGGAATTATATTATTTGAAATCTAATACACAGCTTTGTAAAGCCAGTTTTTGGACTAATGAGATTCGACAGATAGGGATTACAAAAGGAAGGAAGGAGCCAAGTCAGTTTGAAATGGGTATTCAGTAAATAAAATTTCTAAAAACACAGTTAGACCTGCTTCTCTGAAATTCTCATTGGTCAGTGGATGTCGTTGCAACAACTCTCAACTTTTGGTCACCGTGACAGAATTAGGACTATTTTATTTTCTCCCAAATTCGATTTTATTTTCGATTTCCATTTTTATTTTTCTGTATTGCGTTTTAATGGTTACATTATATTTCAGTAATCATAAAGTGTCTCTAATTAATTTAAATCATTAGATTTCAATTAAATTCATTTCTTTTTATATTTTCCAAATTCCATGGTTTTGGTTTACATTTTTCTGAATTACATTTTAATGGTTTAGTTAAATTTTAATAATCAAAAAGCATGTCTTATCAATTGATTCATAAAATATTCATAAAACTTTAGCAATTTAATAATTTATTACATTATAAAAAATTTTTTTAACTAAAATAGTGCCCTATGAATTTTTCAGAAATTCTCTGTTGTCTGTTCTGATTTTTACAATGTAATTAAATGAAATTCAAACAGTTCCTTTTGTTTTTGGCAAACTGATACACAACAGAGGTTGACTGTTAAAATTAAAACATGGGGGAAAAAACTGTGATTCCTTAAAGTTTTAATAATTTTACTTATTTTAAAAATATTTAAGTCACCATGACAGAACATCTGGGCCATCCTCCATCCTTGTTGAAATCGATGGCTTTCCAGTGTAAACTCAAGTGCGTCTCGCGCTTATTCTCTCTCACAGTCTTTCCTGCTGAATGCTTGAGTCCTCACATTTCACTCTGATAATTGGATAAGCTGAGCTGCTGTAATACTGTTAATCTCTAGACATCTGCCACCTCACACACACCTGCACTGCTCTCCAAATCTGCTGTTAAACTCTTCGTTTTACACTTGCTCACAACTCATGAATGCTGCTCTGCTTCTGCCTCTCTTTTTTTTATTAACCCTCTTACTCTTTTCCCTGCCGTCTGTGCTGTCTTTTCTAATTGCTGGCGTGTCCACCCCCTCAAACCCGGTTCAGCTTGAATCTTCCACAGTTTGAGTTTCTGTAGAGCATTTTCATAGTTTTGGCCGTGCCAGCTGCATTCCTTTGCATAAATTGCTTAAATTCCTCAAGTTTTGATTCTATCAGGCAAAGCACATCAATGGAAAATCTCAGCATAATAAGGCATTTTTTAAGATACTTACTTTGAGAACTACATTTTAAGACACTTATGCACTACCATTAAAGTTTGGGGTCAGTGAGGTTGTTTTTATTTTTATTTTTTAAGAAGTCTCTTATGCTCACCTTTATTTTAAGGGTGCATTTATTTGATAAAAAAATACAGTAATAGTATGAATTATTACAATAGAAAATACCTTTTCTATTTTAATAGATTAAAAAATTAATTTATTCCTCCTGTGATAAATTTTTTAGCAGCCATTACTCCAGTCTTCAGTGTCACATTGATCCTTCAGAAATCAGAAATTCTGATATGCTTCAGATATGCTCAGAAATTCTGATATGCTGTTTTGTTGCTCAGTTATTATTGGTGCTTATTATAGTTGTTAAAAACAGTGTTTTTGCTGCTTAATATTTAATGGTGCTACTTTTTTAAGGATTATTTGATGAATAGAAAGGTCACAAAATAATTTATATGTAATATGTAATAAAATTTATTTTGTAACAGTTAAAAGTCTTTGCTGTCACTTTTGCTCCATGACCAATTTAATGCATCCTTGCTGAATAAAGGAATTAATAAAAAATAATAATAATCTTACTGACACCAAACCTTTGAATGGTAGTGTATCATTCTTTCTTAAAATTCATAAAAAATTGTTTATGTATTTAATGGTCATGTGGTGATGCTAATCTTGTGAAATTAAATACTTCACAAATGAAATACACTTGATTGATTGATTTTTTAAATTTTTTATTACATTTTTTACATTTATTTTGATGGGTGAAACCAAAAGATAATCTTTAGAACAACTGAATAAATGTGAATAAAAACTAATAAACTAGTTAATATTAATCTTGAGTTTCAAAACTAACAAATATAAATCTTTATTTTCAACTCTGAATTTTGATTCATTGTGCCTGATTCAAAGATCAAATAGCTGATATATGCACACCATTGACCAAACATCAATTGAATTATTTAACTGTATACTGCAAATCAGTCGAATTTTTATTTCTGTATTTTTGCATTGCTCCATCATTTTGCTATACTTTATGATTGCTTGTTTCACATGTAAAAAAAATAAGGCGGTCTTTATAAAAAAAAAGGACAGCAAAATCTCCATCATGTCTGTGAAGTCATTGTGAAAACTGTAGCAATGTTTTGGCACCTTACATGTCAGCATGAAATATGATATAAACAGTTTAGCTTTGAGTTTTTGAACCTACTCTTGCGTCCCAGACATGTATTCTCGTCACTGCCTTCCTCGTGAATGAATATGCAGAATGCTGTGAACTCTGTGTACAGAATAGGGTTGAACATGTCGAAGAGGACACAACCGAGTGTGTACATGGTCACAATATGTGTTGGTTCTGTAAATCACCCCGAGCTGCCGTCATTCGTTCTCAGTGTGTGCATACTCCATGATAGCATCTCCGTGCGCTGACTCTACTGATCCCGGGACAGACATTTAAGCGCTCTGCTGAATTTCTTCGGGCTGTTCTTACACAGCAGACTGGCCTTTCAGAGCACATTTGCTCTAATTGAATGGGATTTCTTGACTCTCTCTGTCTCTATCTCTCTCTAGACCTGCTCTAAGGGGAACATGGTCCTGCACAGCTACAGCATGCTGCTGCCCTGTGGCATCGATAAGTTCCACGGCACTGACTACGTCTGCTGCCCGTCTACTCGTCCTGAAGAGCCCGCACCTCCTGCTTCACCTTCTATAGAGCTAGATGATGAGGATGAAGACGAGGAGGTGGAGGAGCCTGTCGTTGAGGATGAGGATGATGAAGCAGTAGAGGAGAGGTAATGTAGTGCATACATATGATCTTCTGAAAGGAGTCGTAGGGCCTGTTTACACCAAGGACGATGATTATAATGATGAGGATAAAGATAGTTTTAAAAATCATTCTAAATATAAAAGAGTAGCAGAGTCTACACCACAACTACAGGGATAACGACACGGGATGGTTTCGAACAACACGAGGGTGAGTAATTAATGACAGAATTTTCATTTTTGGGTGAACTAACCCTTTAACTTTAGCGCATGCTTATAATAAGCAGAAGATTTTTGTGCGTTGGTGTCGATGCTAATGTATAGTTATCTTTATTGTTATTGGTTTTAGTGTAAACGGGCCTTTAGTTCACTGTGAGGTTTGTGGTTTCAGAATTAAAGGCATAATAATTTACCACAATTCCAATTAAATTAATTTAACACAATTTACCGTACACCATCAACAAGAAAACATTATTATAATTTTTATGTTCACAGATAAATTGCATTGAAACTTTGCCACACAAGGCCAAGGTTGTGTGTTTTGTCATTTGATTTTTTAGGCGTTTTTTGTATCTCCGATCAGTTTTAATTGGCTCCAAAGGTTTAGAGCAGTTTTAAGAAATCCTATAGAACGAAATGAAACTATTTTAATGTCTATTTATATGTATGCACTATTGTTCAAATGTTTAAGGTCTCTTGTGCTCGCCAAGGCTGCATTTATTTGATCAAAAATACAGTGAACTTTTACCACAATTTAAAATGCCTGTTTTCTATTTGAAGCATCATTACACCAGTCTTCAGTGTCACATGATCCTTCAGAAATCATTCTGATATGCTGATTTGGTGTTAAAGAAACATTTCAGATCATCAGGTGTGGAGGTTGATCTGTAATTAAATCTAACTTAGTGATTGCCAAAAAGCGGCAGGTCATCATTTTTGTATTGTCAATTATTTACTCATCCAAATTTTTGGCAGAGGCACAGCCTCCATAACCTCCTCAGAGCAAACGCTCCGGCACGCTTATCAAAGGATGATGTATTGGTGTGACTGAGCTGTCGTATCTTATCACGCTTTGAGGAGTAGTAGCTGAAACATTGTGTGTGAGAGCGTACACTGTGTGAGTGTATGTGTTGGATAAATTAGGTTGACCATCTGGATATTTTCGAGTGCCATGCCTTTGACCTCTTACAGCTGCTTGATTCACTTCCATAAATCATAAAACCTCCAACCTGTGCTCCTCCTCTCCCTCTGTTTCCCATGTTCTCCTTCCCTCTCATCTTACTGTGCTTATGTCATTTTTATCATGTCTCCTCTTGCCTTTTTTTTTTCTGAATTACTCTAATATGTTCTTTGTATGTAGTTCACCTAAAAATAAAAAATGTCATTTACTTTAGTATCATTTATATACTATAATAGTTTTTGATGTTTTGAATTAGATTTTATTTTATTTTTAATTGTTATTAGTTTTTATTCATTTTAAAGTTTTTATTATTTTTGTTGTGTGCTTTTGTCATTTTTTTTGTTATTATTTCTTTAATGTCTATATATAGTTTTGAATTAGTTTATTTAATTTGAGTTATTTTAGTAGTATTTAGTACCAAAATGAGAAATGTTACCTTTTTTTATGGGTTTAATTTAACAATAATAACCATGTCATTTTCTCTCATTTTATTCCAAGAATGACTCACTTTCTCCTATGGATCAAAAAAAGGCTAAATTGCAAAAAATGTTCAAGCTGCTCATAAATTCAAATTGTCATTTTAAAGAGCTTTAATATAGTTACTTTTTTAAAAGGGCACTTTTGCAGTAATACTATTTGAAATGTTGAGTAGGGTGTAGATTGGGACTCTGTTTGAATAAAAAAGGCAAAAAGGTCAGAAAAATGTAACATTACTTCTAAATCTTGTTTATTCTGTCTTTTTATCCTGTTTTTAGTGATTCTGTTGCCAACGAGCCGCCCACTCCAGAGGACACAGCTGAAGAGGAGGAGCAGGAGGAGTCAAGGTATCGGTATCGGTATCGATATCGAAAAATTTTGATAGATACCCAGCCCTACTCGTTCATACCAAGAATGATAACTATAATGACAACTATAACTAAAAAGTTAATAATTGTTCTAAATTGAGAATAGGGAAGTCCACACCACAAATATAATGATACCAGAGGAAAAATATTGTTGGAATCACTTACAGAACAATTGTTTCCAGCTGATAAATGATAAAAGTGCAAATAGCTAATCAGAATCCACCTGACTATAACAAACTCGCGTGGATGTTAATATAGTTATAGTTGTCGCCTTTAGTCATTCCTCAATGAACGTTCTAGGTGCAAAGTCTATGGAGAAAGTAAATGGGAAAGATATTCTGGACCCAAGGCCGCTAAAAAAAGTGTGCGGTCATTGTTGCGCTCTATAGTTGAAGGGCATTACTGATAGCTGCCCCCGGTGGCTGGAGGCTCTAACTGCGCCTCCCCTCCTGTGTTAGCTGTGGAAGAGGATGACCGAGACAGTGAGGAAAAGGATGTGAAGAAAGAGAAAGCTGACATCCCTGAAAGCCAGGATGGTGACAAAACTCTGCAGGAACTGGAAGGTCGGTATCACACCGTTTTCTTCATTTATTTCCTTACTGTCACAGTGATTCATTGATGCATATTTCTGGTCCTGTTCACTATAGAGGTTTACAATTATTGATTTTTTACATTAGTTCTGAAAATAAGTATACATTTTATTGTTTGGCATTGTCTATACATCCTATATAGCGCAACAGCCGGGGTCCAGAAATAAAAATCTCATTCATTTTTTCCATAGAGAAATATAGTTTATTTTATCAGTAATGTATACCTTGCAAGAAAAGATTGTGACTCTGTTAAAGCCACATGTCAGTGTGATTTTAAACTTAATGTTTTAAAAATCTGCATGCTATAGCCAAAATTGCATTACGCAGAATCCTGATAAAGATGAATGTACCAATCAGAGAAGTCGCTGTTGCCATGGAAACAAAATTATGGTAGAGCTCAGCAGTTCTCGCTAGCCGTGAAGCATGTAATTAAATAATTTCCCTACACTCTCAAACTTAGGTGTTTGTAGGTATCTGAATATTTTGCAGTGAAGTTCATGTTTTTATACTAAAGGCTTGTTCATAGGCAACAATTTCGACTCCGAGGAGTACTGCATGGCCGTGTGTAAACGTTTGAGTAAGTCACACTCGTCACCAAGGACTCCGCCCCCTTCTGCTCCGCCCTGCTCCTTCTCCTTGCTTTCTCTCACAATGCTAATGCTATACTAGCTTACCTAGATGTGAATTTCAAAACGGCCTTGCTTTAAAACACAGTGTGTTGCAACCTTGGAATACGAATGATTGATAACATTTATTTAATTATATTAATGTAATTACCTATTGTTATCAATAACAATTATTAAATATTATAATAAAAATAATAATAGTTTTTATTATTATTATTAGTAGTAGTATCACTAATAATAATTTGGCATTGGAATATTATCAAATTGTTATTTTTACTAAAGAAATAAATCATGCAAGGCCATGTGTTTTTACCACAGTTAATGTTTTATTGCTTTAATCTTATTTAATTCAGTCTAATATGTTCTTATCCTGTTATTTCTGTTTGTGCAGTGTCCCATTCTTTGTTACTCAGTCTTTGCTTTTGCTTTGTGTGTCTTTCAGTTCTAACCTGCCAATGTTTTGAGTTCATGTAGTAGTAGAAACCATCATCATGTGTTTCTGTGGCAATATGAAATGATGGGTTTAATATGGTGTTTTTTTTTTTTTATCACGTTAACCTTCATAAATCAAGGTTTCTCTTGTGCTCTTATCAGTCTAGATGCTGAAGACTGTTTGTTCTCATCAGTATGCATGTCTGATGTTGCCTTTTGTGCACCGCCTTATGGGTAATCATGTCAGGCTTGTCATCTGTATACTAAGGAAATCTGATTTTAGCTCATATCTTGATCATAGCGTGCAGAACTGTGCAGTAACTCTTAAGATAAATGCTAAGGCGAGCGGTTCTGTCAGAAGAGAGCTATTCAGAGGACAGGATGAAAGGAATGGGAAATGAAGGACTGTCTGGTTCTCTCAGAATCAGGGGAATTACAAAGTCATCTCTTGAGTCGTAGCTCTCTGTGGGAAGCTTATTCTTCGCTTTGGTCTGATCTTAGTTGTCTCCTTTTTGTCAGCTGCTCCTTCTGACCTGTCTTTAGGTCTGTCTATCAGTTTGTTTGTGTGTGTAAATGTGTTTTAAAAAAGTGTCTCTATAGCTCTGTTCCAAAAGCTCCCTAACTGTCTACTGGCTACCTAGACGGCTGCCCTCTAAAAAAGCCTCCTAACTGTCATCACAGCCTCATAAGTGACTGTTTTGAAACACTTTACTAATAGTCACTCATGTGCACCACTCGAATAGTACTCCTCACTTTAACCATACAAAAGGCCTGACTGATCCTCACAGTTGCAATAGAGTGCGACAGTGCTGCCCACATTTCAGCAGCCGTGTTTGTGAAAGTATTTTCCCCATTAATTTTCCCATAGGGATTTGAGCCAATGCACAAACCAGCGAGGTGAATCACAACATTACAAACTTTGATAAAAAAAGACAAAGGTACAAGACTATGTACTTAACAGCTCATGAAGCATTGCCAATCACATCTAAAAGCATGTATGTGTGTGTAATATTATATATATATATATATATATATATATCCCGTATGTATGTGTGTGTGTCTATATATATATATATATATATATATATATTGCTCCGATTGATCGGCTACCGATCACTATCGGCCGATAATCACGTTGGGATGA